AGTGCCAAAGATGCTCTAACAGGACTAAGGAGAAACACTCACTGTTTGATAACTGTCCTAAAACCTATTTCAGTAGGCTTCAACAAATACAAAAATGATTTTTTTTAATGTTGCTGTTCACATTTGGAGAGAAATGACTGCAATCTTGAAAACAGAAATGATCAACAGAAAAGTTAAACTACAGATACTAAAAACAACTAGAACAACTACTCACTCCAGCAGATCTTCTTGCCAATATTTTCAATACTCAGTACCAGACTCAATCTTTAATTGCCAGGGACAAAAGGTTAGTTATGCTATAGGGTTCCAGAAATCACTCTCCTGTAATACCAACTATAATAAATTTCAGGGCAAAAGTGACTGATCAAGAAATACTTGATTCTTTTGATAATGAGGAGCTGAGTGGAAGTCACTTAAATATTTGGATCATAAATCAATGAAGTAATAATCTAGCTTCTTCTGTTGACATAGCAACCCTAACCCAACATTCAAAACAATTAATTGAACTGGACCTTATTCAGTCCTACGACTTCATGAATATATAACTTCCTGGTTGATACTAAGATTATTATTCAATTTTTTTTTTAATGACAATCTGAAAAAAACTGCTTTAGATGGTATGTGCATCCTAAGTGTATGTCAGTAAGTGCATCTATCTTTTATCTGGTAGGATTCAGGATGCTGGCCTACAAGGCAGGTTTTAATATGTTGGCTTGCAAAATAGTGTTTAGATTAGAGATCCTAGTAAAATAAAGCTTTAGTTACATTTTTGGCATACCAGTAAAAATATGCCACAACTAGTATTATCTTTATCATTAAAAGGGAATGTTAGATATGGTTCAATGCAATTAATGTATTCTAGAATTTCTCTATCTTACTAAAAAGCATTATGAGAAAGCCTTGATTGATCAAAATCATGATGGGTTATGAAGTTCAATTTCAATGGGTCCAACTAATGATGACCATGGTACATGTGAAATTGTGACTTGGAATGTAAGAGGAACACATGATAAAAACATGAAGTAATAAATTAATGAAATAAAGAAAACATGTATGTCTGTGAAATCATGAAAAAGGGAGAAGATGTAATAGAACAGAATTAAATTGGTCTGATCTTGGAGAATGATAAATACATCAAGGAAGTAAAGTTGTAGGTTTAATTTTGAATGAAATGGCTAAAATGTATATCAGAAAGTATGAATTGGTATCAACTGCATTGTTGAAAGTGTGTATCAAAGGAACAATCCTTTGATGACAGTTGCATGTTATCCTCCAGTAAATGATGATAATGGAAGAGGACAGATAGACAGCTGACTGACTTTGGGAGAACATGTTACCAGGAGGGTTATGAGTGGAAAATGATTGTTGGTTGAGGGTTAAGTCAGTAAATGTTCTGGAAAGAGCAGAAAGTGAGCAGGAGGTCAAACAGCACTGCCTCATGCTGAAGCGGCCTGCCCGAACAGAGGAGAAAGCAAAAAGGCAGTGCCTTTTTGAGGAACGCTGTAAATTGCTCACTATCATTGGCTTCAACTCCTCACAACAACCACCCTGTGAGGTGGGTTGGGCTGAGAGAGACTGACTGGCCCAAAGCCAGCTTCCATGCCTAAGGCGGGACTAGAACTCATAGCTTTCTAGCCTGGAGCTTAACAACTAGACCAAATTGGCTCAATTATCTTAAATAATTTTTTATTTAAAGAGAGCCAGTTTGGTGTAGTGGTGAAGGTGCTGGCCTAGTGGGGCTTGCATGCTCCGAGAAGGATGAAAGCTATGCCAGAGGTTCAACCATACTGGACAGGTCTCATCAGAGGAGGTAGACAAAGAGTGCCTCTCCCATAAACTATATGTTGAGATGTAATTTACAAAAACCTATACTGGATTGGTCATCGCCCAGGTCAACAAGGACCGCACTAGGTGTTCTAGTTCCTGAACATCTGGTGACAAATGGGCTACAGGACTCAAGGCTCAGCAACCAGGGCCAGCAGCTGCAGGACTACTGGAAGAAAAGTTGTTTACCTGTCCCAAATGTATGAAGACTGAAAACAAAGAAATAATGATCTGCAATTACAAATCAAGTCAAATGAGAAGAGGATATCTGAAAAGAATGCACTGGTTCTGGAAAGAACAACATCCAGAATCAGAAATAACAGAACAGAGGCTAGCAGATCAACATCAATTTGTAATACAAAATAAGGTATTCACAGAAGTAGAATTGGAAGAACTGCAAAGGTCTAGCCAGGTCAAAGAAACTGAAGGCTTGCCAGAAGTAGCTCAGACTGTAGTGGCAAACCAGGGGGAGTTGGCAGTTGAGGAAGCCAGCATAGCTACTGAATCGTTTTCATTCCCAATTAGGCACCCTCTCCTCTGCCTTCTCCTCAGAAAGAACAAAGCCCTCTACCTAAAAAACACGTGGAACTGAAACAAGGAATAACTGAGCATCTAGAACAGCACAAAAAGAACAGAATAAGATTGCCTGCATTGAAGCTTGTTAAAAAGAAAAAGCTAGCACAAGTATTAAAGGATGCCAATACTGTAATATCAAATATAAGCACCAGCTCACTGCAAGAAACAAACCAACTGATGTACAGCACGGCTGCAGTTATAACTGAATACCTTGGATGCAAAATCAACAAACAAGAAAATAAGCCAGTGCACCACCAAAACGGAAGATCAGGTTGGAAAATAAGATCAGCTTGCTAAGATCAAATGCAAGCAAGCCAGAACAGAATAAAGAAAAGAAGTTGAAGAACAAGAAGATCAAAGAATGCCTGATTAAAAAATATGTCCTAGAAACAAGGAAGATTAAGGAAGCACTGGAACTAATAAAGCAAATAGCACTCATAGTCAAAAAAAAAATCAGCAGATACAAAGCTCGAATTGCACATTATAGGCAGAATCTCCAACTTCAGTTGAATCAGAAATGTTTCTACGAATCCATCAATGGAGAGACTGCAATGAACCAGTCCACACCTGACAAAGAAGAAACAGTGCAGTTCTAGGCCCAGCTATGGG